TCATGCTGCGTCAGAAAAGACTGAAGAGACATAGTTTTGTCTTCAAGTTTTTAAACTTTAAAGTGTTTGTTAAACTTTAAATTTCCACTGGTTCCCCCAAGTGGAAGGCGGCTAGTCTTGTTTTGCTTGGCCCCAGAGAACAAAATTAGGAGCAGTGGGTAGAAGTTGCAAAGAGATAGATTTAGGATTGATGTAAGAAAAAATAAAATAAAATTAGTGCTCTTCAAAAGTGGATTAGCTTGCTATGAAAGTTTCTATTGGAAGTCTTCAAGTTGAAGTTAGATGATCACTTGCCACTTATGTTGTAGAAAGGATTCTTGGTCAAGTCAGCAAGTATTTTTCAAGCACCTGCTTTGGGCCAGGCACTGCTGGAAATGCAAAGAAAGGCAGAAACAATCCCTGCCTTCAAGGAACTCACAGTCTGATGGGGAAGACAGTATGCAAACATTGATGTACAAACTGTATGTGTATAGATAATGTCCGTGTGCGTTTATTTTCACACACAAATACTGGTTAAATTGGAGATGATCTTATGGGGAAAGCACAACATCACGGAAGATTCTGGGTCGGGCATGGGTTGGACTGGATGTGCCCTGAAGTCCCTTTTAACTGTAAGACTCTCCTTCTCTGGGCCTTGTTTTCCCTAAATTTTCTCTAAGATCCATTGCAACTCTTAAATTCTTGTGATGTAAATGGATCAAGTGAGATCATGGATATAAAAGACTTTGTGACCATTAAGTTCTGTATAAATGTGCTGTCATCAACTTTGTCATAATCATCACCCCAATGGTCACTTCCAGTTCTATAAATAGTCTTTTAGTCTTATCTAGATAAAACCTGTCGTGCTTTTCTTATATTTGTACTGAGGATCTGCATCTGTGGACTCCAGATAGGAATTTGGGTTGTAGCCCTAAGCACTTAGTAAAATCCTAGTGTGCTGATGACTGGTAGACTGTCACTGTTGAGGCTGATAGACTCTTCATTTATATTTCCAGAGTAAACATCTCGGCCTCCTGGACTTGCTGATGTTGATCTGTCATTGAGTAGCTGATAATTGTTGAGAACATTTGAACTTGAAATGTTGTAGTAAAACCTGGTTCTGGAAACACAGGTCTGTGTGAAGAAAAAGAAATAAACCAAGGAATCTAAGGGACAAGCACATGAATCCAATGTCTGGTTTAGAATCTAGGCATTTGGAAATCATTTTGAGGGTGTGGGGGAAAGGGCTGATGGGTGATCCCTGTTATGGTTGGTTTGTGGAGAAGAACAGAAAGGGACAGGATCATCTTCTGCATGTGGGATTTGGGGATAATTTTTAACTACAGAAGATAAAACTGAGGCTGATGTCTATATCATGGTCACACAGTGATACAACAGTGACCCAAACCTATGTTTGTACAGTGTTTGCTTTGAAGAATTCACTTACAATTTGAGAATATTCGCTTCTTCATGTGATGATACTAATAATAGCTGGCATTTACGTAACACTTTGTAGTAGTGGTTCTCAATTTTCTTTTGCTCATGGCAGCTCAGTATTCTTTGCTCTGAGGAATCCCAGCTGTCTTTTGCTATGGGAGAGTTGGGAGTCTTTTGTAAGTACATGCCATTGCAAGTTCAATTTTCTTAAAATTTGTGGCCTCCCAATCTAGGGCAACCCTTTGAGAACCAGTGTTTTTTAGTTACAAAGCTCCTTATGTTATGTCTATTGTCCTTTGATTTACAGAACAACCATGTGAGGTAGTCATTGCTGCCAGTGTTAGGATTTATAGGTGACAGAACTGAGGCCCAGGGAAAGGAATTGACTTTCCCAAGGTAGTGGCAGAGTTTTGACCAGGATTTGTACATATCTTGTTAGTCCAGACAGGCACACGGTCCTTTACCCTTTCTCCCCCCAGACACTTAAAGTTATGTCTCCTTCACAGCAAGCAGCTCAGTGATGAACACTTAGTAGATACTCAGATATTTATTGATTGGAAGGCATAGTAGTATATTAGAAAGATGATGAAGACTGTTTTGATTCTTGGCTTAGTCATTTTATGTTTGAAACAGTCCCTTCTTTCTCTGAACCTCAGTTTCCTCATCTTTAAAATACAGCTGACAGTGCTTGCCCTATGTGCTTCACAGGAAGCCCTCTCAGGTCAGTGCCCCAGAGGCAGCACAGTATTGTAGAGAGCAGAGCACCTCCATTTGAAGTAAGGCTCCAACATTTACTAGAAAAGAATATGTTGGTACTGAATAGTCTGGTTATACAGATGAACCTCTTTCCATTCTAGAGATCCCTATGATTAGAGAAAATATACACAAGGCATACTTTCTTTCCTGGTGATAAGGCTCTTGCCCATTTGCTCTATTTCCATTGGCATGTGTTTGTGGCACTTTGGTTAAGGGAATGGATTCATGCTGAAATTCAAAAAAGATCTTAACAGCATCTGTTCCATAAGAACTGGATAAAGCCTCATCATATTTGTAATACAGTAAGGTTGTGGTGTCTGAAACTGACTGGCAAAGGCATTTCTCTTCTGCCAGGTTCATCCTTTTTGAGGCATGAGAGATCATTATTCATGGAGTCCAAAGCTGCATTATAAAAATTTTTGGTCCATAATAGAGAGCAATAAGGCAGTTTCTTTTTGTGTAGTCTTGAGAGGCCATAAACTTGTAGAAGTAGTTCATTCCCCAGTAGCCATGGTTGTTGAAATAGGGTTCATAGGAATAAACAGCCGCTTTGTTTTTGACTTGTGGGTTATCTAGTTCCTCTTCCTTGAAAAAAATTGTAAAATCATAGACTTTAAGTTGGAATGGACCTCAAAGGTTGGTTCAACCTCTACTCAGATCATGAATTCTCTCTGTAACTTCCCTAGGAAGTAATATCTACCTCTCACTTTTACAATAACTGACCTTTACATAGTACCTTAAAGTTTGCAAAATTGTTTACGTACATTGTTTCTTCTGAATCACAGCCACCCAAGTCGGTGTATGAACTACTGGCATTACCCTTGCAGACCTTCACTTTCACTCTCTCCTGAAACTGCCTTTTTGACTTTTGGACTGCTGGGATTGTTAAGATGTTATTTCTAGAGTTGAGCTGAAATTTGTCTCTTTGATGTCTCTCCCTTTCTCCTTTACTTTAAGCCCCACCCCCTTTTACTTTTACTTCTGTTTTCTAGAGCCAAGCACAACTTTAGATCTGGAGGAAGGCCCAGCTATGCGATTATTCACATTTCTGGATAACAGCTTATGTTTCTATAGTATTTTTCATTTTCAGTGAGCTTTTCTCACATTAGACCTTTGAGATAACAGTTACAAGTATTATAATTTTTTTGGATGTTAAAGGTGAAGTCTTGTCCACAGTAGCAGTTAGTACTTGAACTCAAATCCTGATTCCAAGTACAGTGTTCTTTCCAGGTAAACCAGCAGCACTTTATATTATTTCCCTTTTGTGTTTGTGACGTTGAGCTGCCCTTTCTTTGGGTAGTCTTTACATTCAATTCAGTGAACATTTATTTACCAGTCTTCTACTATGTACAGGGCCCTGTTCAGGTGCTGGGAATTCAGAGATGAAAAATGACATAGTCTCTTCTCTCCTGGAGCTTATAGTCCACTGTCCTTCTGTCCCTGGCACTCAGAGCTGAAGAAGTCCTGTCGTGGCAGGAGGTCTGTTTGTGGGGAGGGCCTTTTCCAGCCCTCCCACCCCATCAGTTTTCAATGAGCTTCCTTGGGCCAACCCTCAGGGGACTTTCTTTTTTTTGCCTCTTAAAGACTAAAGTCAGGGACAGCTAGGTGGTGCAGTGGATAGAGCACTGGCCCAGGAGTCAGGAGGACCTGAGTTCAAATCTGGCTTGAGACACTTGACACTTACTAGCTGTGTGACCCTGGGCAAGTCACTTAACCCTGATTGCCTCACAAAAAAAAAAGAAAAAAAAAAGTATACACCAAATAACAATAACATAAATTGCAAGGAAAAGAAAAGAATCCTATTTTTAAAAAAAAGACTAAAGTCCTTTATTTGTATTACAGCTTTTTATTTGGAGTGCCAAGTTTAAACATGTTGCTGGTTGTTATGCTCCTACCTCAAGACATTTAATTTATGCATACTTCTGATCATGTCCCTCCTCTTCTCAAAATACTTCAGTGGCTCTCTTTAGCCTAGTGAATAAGAATCCAAACCCCTTCACAAGCCCAATGCCAGTATGGCTATCCAATCTTATCTCACATTCTTCCTTCTCAGTAAACTGATCCAGCTGGCACAGGCCATTCATTGTTCCCTGAACAACATGTATTCTTTCCCACCTCTCTGCATTTTTGCTCATGCTGTTTTCTTCCATTGGAATGTCCTTGCTTCTTACCCCCACCTCCATCACAGCCTGTTAAATTCAAGACACAGCTCAGATTACACCTCTTCCAGGAATTCTGTGTGATCACTTAGTTTGAAATAATCCTACTTTCTTTGGGTCTTATAATTTTAAGTCTTATCCCCCCTACTAGACTATAAAAAGGAATCCCTCAGGATAGTGGTCATATTTTATTTACAGAATGTCAGCATTAGAAGGACCATCAGAAGTCACCTGGTCTAGCCTATACAGTGATCTTCTCTACAACATAGTCAACAAGTGATCATCTCGCCTTTGTTTGGAGACCTCTAATGGATGGAGAACCCATTAAGTCCCAGTATGGCCAGTTCCACTTTTACTTAGCTCTGATGTTGTCCTCACATTAAGCCTATATCTGCCTCTTTGCAATTTATTCTTATTTGTACCTCTCCCACCAACAAGCACAGAACACTACCTATATTAATTTTATTCTTATTAATTGTATATCTCTTTTTCATTGTTGGACTGAGGTATTTCCCAGAGGGTCAAGGTCACACCTTTCTTAGTTTTATACTTCCTCCAGCACCAAAAATAGTGTCCTACATATAATAGTCACTTAATACATGATTATTGGACTTAATTGAAATAAATATGATTATTGACTTTAGTTTTTTTGTTTCCTGGTGTTTTTAGGCACTCTTTGTGCTTTTCATTCTGGCCTACATCCACATTGCCTTCTCTCGCACCCCTATTAATTGTTTGGAGCATGTGCGAGACAAGTGGCCCAGAGATGGCATCCTTCGAGTAGAAATTCAACACAACTCCAGCCGAGCTCCCATCTTCCTCCAGTTTTGTGATGCAGAGAGTTTCCCAGGCATGGTGATAGAGTCTGAGGAGGAAGAAGAGGAGGAGGAAGAAGATGAAATGACAGTAGAGATGTTTGAGAACAGCTCAGTCAAGGTAAGTTGAACCAGGGTGGTATGCTAGATTGCTAGATGACTATAAATGGCAACTGACGTCCCCCCCCAAAAAAAACATATTAGACCTTTTTTAAGAACTAGAATTGAATTTGGATATAATCTAGTTCAAACCTTTCATTTTAAATATGGAGAGGCTGGCTTAAAGAGAAGTGATTTGCTCATAGTCTGTAGTCAGTCAACATTCATTAAGTACCAGCAAGCATTTATTCAGCTCCTATTGTGCGTCAGGCACTGTGCTAAAAACAAAAGACAGACCTTGCTCTCAAGGGAGCTTATAGTCTTAATGGGGGAGACAACACGTAAATTATTATGGACAGGATAAAAAGGAGACAATCCACAGAGGGAAGGCACGAGTATTAAGGAAGATCAGGAAAGGCTAATTGTAGGACGTGTATTTTAGCTTGGACTTGAAGGAAGCGAGGAGGTGGAGATAAGGAGGGAGAGCATCTAGAGATGGAGGATAGCCAGGGAAAGTGTCCAGGGTTGAGAAATACAGTGTCATTGCAGGTCTGGGGGGAAAACAAGGAGGCCGGTGTCACTGGATTGCAGAGTACTTGGGGTAAGGTGTCAGAAGATTGAAATTCCAAACAAAGGGTTTTATATTTGATCTTGGAGGTGATGGGGAGTCCCTGTAGTTTGTTGAGTAGGGGAGTGACATGGTCAGATCTGCACTTTAAGAAGATTGGGTTGACAGCTGAATGGAGGATGAACTGGAGTGTGGACAGATGTGGCAGGCAGATCCACTAGTAACCTGCTACAGTAGTAGGTGTGAGGTGAGGAGAGCCCGAGTCAGGGTGTGGCAGTGTTAGAGGAGAGAAGGGGGTGTATTGGAGGGCTGTTGTAAAGGTGAAATCAGCAGGACTTGGCAACAAGCCACTAGCAAAATAGTGGCAAAATTAAGACTAGAACCTGGGTCTTATAGCCCTGGACTCTGCCGCTATGTCAATTTCAATTATTCACATGGAATCCTACCATTTAGAGCTAGACTAGACCTTCACCTAGTCCAGTTCCCTCATCTTCAGGTGGGAAACCTGAGGGTTAAATAAGGAAAATGACTGGACTAAATTAGAGTGAAATAATAGTGGTGGGGTCAATCAGTCGGTCAGCTGGTCTCCCTGTCTTGCGCACGCTGGAAGTGCAGCAGCCCCTCAGAGGCTCAGTCCTACTACTGTTTAGTAGAAGCTTTAATCTGTTTTTCCTACCTGGGCTGGTCCCTCCTTAAGCAGCCTGGTGGCCCTTCACTCCTAGGAGTTCACCATATTAATGTGGAACTTACTGTAGACAGACCCCTGGTCAGCTTTCACCCTGCTGAGGCTTAGAGCTCCCAGACTCGTGCCATCCACCAACACTGGCTTCCCACCAGGAGCAGGGATTACAGGTGTGTGCCACCACACCTGGCAACAAGAATTTTTCAAATGCCAGTATGTAATGCTGCCTTTGTATTTGTATTCCCAGCACCATTTGTGCCAGGTGCTGAGGATACAATATAAAGAATGACACAAGTCCTCTTTGCAAAGAGTTTACAATTCTAATCCAGAAGACAAGTATGTATGTATATAAATATATAGACCTTAAATATAAAGTAAATTGATACAAATATGTACAAAGTAGTTAAAGACATGATCGTTTAGGAAGGCGGGCATTAGTTGCAGAAGATGGTTGTTGAGCTTTGTCTTAAAGGAGGAAAGGGACTCTGAGGTGGAGGTAATGGGGGAGGGCATTCCAGGTATAAGGGCTAGACAGTGTAAAGGTATAGCATCAGCACTTGAACCTCAGTCTCCTGATGCCTGCTCTAGTTCTTTCCACTACACCAGGTATACATCCAATTGAATGTTGATGTCTTTGAAAAAAGTCATTTTTTGAGGCCAAATACTTTCCTGAAGAGGATTTCATGGCTCATAGTCTTTCTGAATGATAGCTCACATTTTTTTAGCACATCAGTTTATAAATTAGGGAATGCATATGTTATTACCCCCATTTTATAGATGAGGAAACTGAAGTGACTTGTTCGTTGTCATACAAAATAAGGGGCAGGGCCAGGACTCAAACTTAGTTGTTCTGAGTCCCAGGACTAATGTTCTTTCCATCATTCTGGTCTTCTTACCGTCTGGATGAGGTGGGATCATAGTCTTCAAATATCTGAATGTCATATGGAAGAAGAATTAGACTTCCCTCTGCTTGCCTGCACAGGGAGAGCTAAGGTCAGTGGGTAGAGGTTGTAGTAAAGCTGTATCAAGAATCGTTGTAAGCTGCAGCCCTTCTGGAAGATCTTCAGCTTACCAGGGGATTGGGTACATCCCTTGTCAATCTCTTCTGGGAGAATACTTGCTCCTTGGCTCTGGGATTCTGGTCAAAAAATCATATTATCCCTTAGGGCAAAGTGCCCTAAGCATAACCAGGCCTTGGGCAGGCCAGGGGAGAGATGAGCTGATCATTTTAGATTACATCTCTGCCTTAGAGTTTTACATGGTGGGGGAAACATAGAATAATTCAGGCAAAAACCTTTTTGTCTTCCTTTGGACTTTTTTTGTTTTCTCTTAAACTGGGAACTCTGAGAAAATGACATTTCCCCTTGAAACATTTAGCACACCTCCCACCCCTTTTCCATAGCATCGTTTACAGGTAATTTGATATAGCAAAAAGAGCTCTGGATTTAGTATGTTTGAGTTCTGGGTTTGCAACTTTCCAATTGTGTGACTTTATACAAATTACTTCTTATCTGTGAAATGAGGGTGCTAATCATATTTGTGTTTCTACTTATTTTTTTTTTCCTACTTATTTCACAAAACTGTTGTGAAGACAAAATATTATATACAGAAAACACTTTGTAAGGAACTTTGGAAATGTCAGCTGTTATTGTCCGAAGTTATAGGATCATAGGATTTAGGGATCACTTAGTCCAACTGCCTGATTTTACAGAAAATGACCTAGCCTAGGCTTTTGCATGATTGAGGTCACCCGATTTGTTTGTCTTTCTTTTAGTTTTAACATGTCCCAGGTACTTGGCCCAATACTGTCGTTATAAAAAATTTTGAATTATAATAATTAATATTTATATAGAGCTTTATCATTTGCAAAGTGCTTTACATATATTATCTCATTTAATCCTCAGCTTTAGCTGTTCCATTTTTCAGCTTGGGGTTAGGTCTTTCACAGTAATTTATTGGTACATAAAGCATTTATTTTTTACTGCATGCTCAACATCCTGGCAGATGGCTCAATCCAGTAAAGAATTTGTTTTATCTCATGTTATTCCAGTGTCCTTGAATCCTCAGGGAGTAGTTATCCCTGAGAAGAATAGTACTTGTCTTGGTCTCAGTGCAATACTGAGTTTTTGGCTATTTTATTGCAAATAGTATATCTGGTTTTTGGAATAATGATCTAAGTCCTTTCAGATGATAGTCAAAACAAAACAAAACAAAACAAAACTGCTAGGTAGATGGCCTAAATTTGAGTCTTGGTGTTATCATTACTTTGTAGTCATAGCTATTTCTCTTCTCTTCTCAGAGCCTAAGTGTCCTCAGTTGCCAGGTGGACTACATCTTTCCCAGGATTGTATTATTCATTTGTGAGACTTTGCTAATTCTCTTGCTGCTTCTTCTTTTTTTTTTTTAAACAGTTTGAGCTGGACATTGAACCAAAGGTGTTCCTGAAGCCTTCCCGGGGGAGCAACCCTGAAGCATTGACCCAGATGACCAAGAACCAAAGCCAGGAGCTTTCCTTCACTGAGGCGACGACTAAAGGTATGCAGCCTCTGATCGAGACTGTGTCGGAATTTGAGATGCTAGCCAGAGCAGGTAAAGACAACTTCTTTTGGTACCCTGTTCTTTCCCTCTCCACCACCTTTCCCCCCTTCCTTCTCACCTCAACTTTCCATCCATTTATCTTTCATTCATTCCCCTTCCCCTTTCTGAGTCAAGTCAACATATGGGTAATAAGCATGTCAAGCCAATGGACTGGTCTTAACCAGTCATATGGCTATCTCCCTGGGCATCTGTTTGGGGAGTGGAGAAGTTAAGGGGCTCTTTGAGCCCTGAGGCCCATGAGTGCAGTTTGATGTAATTTCTTTAATCAGGGTTGTTCCCAAATAGCCTTGGTTTAAGTTAAAGAACAGAGAAAGTTGGGCCTGAGTCTTTAGAGATTAGCATGATGTAGTGGAAGGAAGCAGCTGCCTTGCAGTCCTTCTAGTCACAGCATTGACAAGTTTTCAGAATTGGAAGGCAACAGAGAGAACTTGTAGGTCATTAACTCCAAAGAAGAATGTCCTTTAGTACAGGGCACTTACAACAGGAGATCTTTACCCAGGGTCTGTGAACTTTTTTGGTATCATTGTATTTTAATAGGATTGGTTTCTTGTGTAATCCTAGGTGTATATTCTTTGTTTCCGCTTATTTCACTCTACATCAGTTCATTTAAATCTTCTGTTGTTTTTCTGAATTCCTCATATTCATAATTTCTTACTGTATAGCAATATTTTATCGCATTCATATGACATAGCTTTTTCAGCCATTCTCCAATTAGTGGGTACCCACTTTGTTTCTAGTTCTTCCCTACTATAAAAAGTGCTGCTGTGACTGTTTTAGTATGTATTAGACCTTTGTATTTCTGTCTTTTAACTTCTCTGGAGCATGTGTCCAGCAGTGAGATAGCTGGTTCAAAGGGTATGGACAGGTCACTTTTCATGCGTAATTCCAAATTGCTATCCAAAATGGTTAGACCACTTTCAGCCTCTGCCAGCAGTGTATTGGTGTGCCTGCCTTACCCTCCAATACTGGCTGTTCCTTTTTTTTTTTTTTTTTTAATTATCTTTTCAATTTGCTGAGTGTGAGGAGAAACCTCAGATTTGTTTTGATTTGCATTTCACTTACTATTAGAGCTTTTAAAGCAGTTATTTATAGTTTGCGATTCTTCTTTTGGGAATTATTCATGTCCTTTGACCACTTACTATTTGAGGAATTGCTCTTGGTATTAATTTTGTGTAATTAAAATCATCTTTTTTTTTGTCTTGTGTACTCTCTGTTAGAGTACGATTGAGACTCTTTTGGGGACATGGCCAGTGTGGGAATTTGTTTTGCTTGATAACACATTTTTGTAATGGTTTTTTGTTTTGTTTTGTTTTTTTGCTTTCTGAACTAGGGGAGGATGGAATGTGAGAGGGAGAGAATGCAAATCCCAAAATAAAATGTAATTAGAGTAAAAAAGAAAAAAATCCCGTGCTAACCATAATTGTTAAAGGTCCTTTCATTTTCTTTGAATTTTTTTTTTTCCCCAATGTGACCTATTATATTCAGGTTGTCTTTTTTTTTTTTTTTTCCTTTGAGGCAACTAGGGTTAAGCAATTTGCCCAGGGTCATGCAACTACTAAATGTCTGAGGCTGGATTTGAATTCAAGCACATCTGACCCTGTGGTCTGTGCTATTGCACTGTGCCACCTAGCTGGCCCTATCTATTTTTTAAAAAGTTTATTTTGGTATGTACTGTAAGGTATTGATTTAATCTAATTACCATACTGCTTTTTGATTTTCCCAGCAGTTTTTGTCAAAAAGATGATCTTTCCTCAAGTAATTTATATACTTGGGTTTATTGGACAGTAAGTGGGTTGCCGTTCATATTTGCTTCTGTTTATTGTTTTATCTAGTCTGTTCAGCAGACCTATTTCTTAAAAATCAGAACCAATAGTTTTGATTACTGTTTATATTATATTTTGAGGTTTAGTAATGCTATGCCCCTAGCTTGTACTTTTTTTCTCATGGTTTTCATAGTTTCCCTTGAAATTCTAGACCTTTTATTCCTCCAAATGAAGTATATTGCTGTTTTGTCTGGTTTTATAAAGTTACCTTTTATCATCTGTAGCTTTGATTGCTATAGCAGTAACCCTAATCCTAATACTGTAAGTCAGTTTAGGAAGTAACAACATTTTTTATCATATTGGTATGGCCTAACCACACAGTGGGAAGTACTTATAGGTCAGACTAAGAAGTTGATGTCTGCTTTGTTTTAAGCAGAGGGAGCCCCTCAAAAGGTTTTGAGCGTCTGTGACATAGGAGGAGGATGACTGTGGCAGGTATCTCCTTGAGAGATGGATTGGACTGGAGACCTCCTGAGGAAACATGCTATTCGCTTCAGAGAGAAAGATGATGGATAAAGAATACAAACTGAAGCATGTTTTCTTTTCTTTGAATCATTTTTTTGGGGGGGGTTGGAGGGGAACATGGATAATACAGGAATTTGTTTTACTTGATTATACATACTTGTTGTGGGTTTGGGTTTTGTTTTTCTTGCCTTCTCCATAAGTGCAGGAAATGGTGGGAGGGAGAGAATTCAGAACTGAAAATAAAATTGGACTAAAAAAAAAAGAAGAAGAAGAAGATGAATTAGAGAAAATAGAGACTAGAGTCAGGGAGACCAATTAGGTGATTATAGTTAAGTCTAAGTGAGAGGTGATCAGGGCCTGAATTAGTGTAGTGGCTGTGTGAGTGGGGAGAAGAAGAGAGACTTAAAAGATATTGCTGAAGTAGAATTGACAAGATTTGGCATTTGATTAGATGCTGGAGGTGGATTTCATATCCACACTAGCAGAAGGGGGGGGGGCAGCCAGGTGGTGCAGTGGATAGAGCACTGGCCCTGAAGTCAGGAGGACCTGAGTTCAAATACGGCCTCAGACCAAACACTTGACATTTACTAGCTGTGTGACCCTGGGCAAGTCACTTAACCCCAGTTGCCTCACCAAAGAGGAAAAAAAAAAAACTAACAGAAGAGAAAGCTAGATTCTGTATTAGAGGACCTATGTTCAAATCATGGATGTTATTATCAGTGACCTTTGAGCAAATTACTTAAGTCTCTGTGCTTCAGTTTCCTTATCTATAAAATATAGGAATTGGACTGGAAGACCTTTAAGATACCCTCCAGGCCTAAATCTGTATTCTTATGAGCCTTTTTCCCCCATTCTTAAAAGCAAGTACTGATTCAGCTGACTGACTAGAATGAACTGGCCTGGCTGTAACCACCCATAGCCAGAGTAGCCTTATAGAAAGTGACTACATTTGAATGGGGAAGAAAGCAGTAGCATTTCCTTCAAGGTTTCAAAGAGCAGGCTAACTTGTCAGGATCCACAGGATACTGTTTCCTTCTGGCTTCCAAAGCCCATTTCCTAATTTGTATAGAAAAGGCGGGTGGGGGTCCAGAAATGTCCAGCATCTACCATTAACTAGAACAGTGTTCACTCAGACCCCTTGTAAGCTGGAGTTTCATGTACTCTGTTACTTATAGAACAGTACAACAAAAATTTTAAGTGTGGACTTGCTAGAGTTCTCCCCCAAACCCCTCCAAATACCTATAAAAAATGACCCTAAACAAATTCTAAAGCAGCAGAACCCACAAAAAAACAGAGTAAAACAAATTTCCAGCCCAAGACAACCTGGATGGTTGATCAGAAAGGTATATCGCGTCGGGGCTGGGAGTGGAGCGCAGTTTGGCGTGGGCGCGCAGGCCGTAGTGACCCTGGAGCAGGCCTCAGAGGACTGAATCGCAGGCAGCGGGGACAGTTTCCAGATTCTCAACCCACGAACGCCAAAGACAACTTAGAAGGTCAGTGGGAAAAGTCTGTGACTGCAGTGAGAGAAGAAGCTAGGTCTCAGCCACAAGTCCTGAGTGCGGGCCACAGCTGCCTCCTGAGCTTCTGGCCCACAGACTGAGGGGGAATCGAGTGGCTGATCAGAGGGGGATTGCAAGGATCTCTTTGCCAGGGCTGAGGCAGGAATCTTTTGCTTTGCCCATGCTTGGATCTGGGTCACAGTTCTGAGGGGCAGTCCTGGGGCAAGGAGGAGTGCTGGCAAGGAGGAGCACTGGCGTGGTGGAGCTAGTTGTGGCAGTGGAGAGGAAACATCTCGCCCCTTATCGTAGCACCTTGGAAGAACTGACACTTTTCAGGTCCCTAGAAGTATCTCTGAAAACAGCTGTACAAACCCCTGAAGTTTGGGACAGTACATTCTCCACATTGGAAACAGACTCTTACCTTAAGAAAGAGTTTAAAACTCAAGTAATATTGGGATCATGAGCAAGCAGCGCAAAAAGAGTCAGACTATATTATCTTACTTTGGTGACAAAGAAGATCAAAACATACATCCAGAAGAAGAAAACAAAGTCAAAGCTCCTTCATCCAAAACTTCCAAGAAAAATGTGAATCAGTCCCAGGCCTTGGAAGAGCTCAAAGGGGATTTTGAGAAGCAAGTAAGAGAAGTAGAGGAAAAACTGGAAAGACAAATGAGAGTGATGCAAGAAAATCATGAAAAGCAAGTTAACAGCTTGCTAAAGGAGACCCAAAAAAATACTGAAGAAAATAACACCTTAAAAAATAGCCTAACCCAAATGGCAGAAGAGGTCCAAAAGGCCAATGAAGAGAAGAATGCTCTAAAGAGCAAAATTGGACAAATGGAAAAGGAAGTCCAAAAGCTTACTGAAGAAAATACTTCCTTAAAAATTAGAGTAGAGCAATTGGAAGCTAGTGATTTTATGAGAAATCAAGACACTGTAAAACAAATCCAAAAGAATGAAAAATTAGAAAACAATGTGAAATATCTCATTGGAAAAACAACTGACCTGGAAAATAGATTCAGGAGAGAGAATTTAAAAATTATTGGACTATCTGAAAGCCATGATCAGAAAAAGAGCCTAGACATCATCTTTCAAGAAATGATCAAGGAAAACTGCCCTGATATTTTAGAACCAGAGGGCAAAATAGAAATTGAAAGAATCCACCGATCTCCTCCTGAAAGAGATCCCCAAAGGAAAACTCCTA